CTTTTTTCCCCCTTTTTTTTTTTTTTTTTTTTTTTTTTGGTGCAAGAAACCAAAATTGCCAACTTTTATCGACATCAGTCATCGGATAATATAAAGGACGAACAAACTCTACTTTTCGACTTGTATATTAGCCAACTGACTGCATCGAATCTTAGCTCTTAAGTTTATGTTAGCTTTTTTTATGGTTCTTTTTTTTTTCAATTTTATTTTGAACAGATATTTGAAAACGATTCCGTCTCCTGCTCCAAATTGTCCCTTCATTATCTGCTGCCCTTTTCTTCTTCCTCTGTTTCAGTCTTGTTTCACGATTTTCATGCCCTTTTTCATTTCTAAGATTTGAGAGCCTTCTCTAAGTATAATTCGGACAATGTAATCTAGCATTGGAGTCCACGGGTAAGACAAGATCTGCTACAGAGAACAAGGCCATGGGTATCATCTTCTCTCTGGGTTTTCTCCTGTTTTCTTTGATCTCCGCTCCATGGCTGTCGGTTGCTCTCACTAACCCTGACGATGGTACTGTTCTCTTCCTTGCCCTTTTCTCCTCTAGCTTTGCTCTCTCTCTATCTCTCTCGGGGAATTGGAGGAGACTGGTGTATATCATCATGTACAATTGACCACTTTTATCTGCAATGGTCAAGTGTCTTAAAACCTATCAAGAATCACATGGTTCACGTTGTTATTCATTTCTTGCTTTTATCTGCGTTCTTGGCTTTGATTTTTTTTTTTTTTATGTATCTAACAACTCTACATGGATGTAATTGGTTCAGTGGCGGCCATCAGTGGCCTGTACCTTGCTCTAGGCTCACCCCTGCTTCCTGGTTGGGTTGCATCTGGGGGAGACCCTTGTGGCGAGGCATGGCAAGGCATACTTTGCAATGGTTCCGAGGTTCAAACCATGTAAGTCACCTCTTTCATCCGCTTCTACTTGCTGCTATTCGTCATTTCCATCTCCCTCTCTCTCATTTCAGAACTCTCAATGGCGCGAATCTTGGGGGAGAGCTCGGCCATGGCTTAGATATGTTCACCTCTATCGAGAAAATGTATTCCCTTTGACTCTTCAATGTGACTGTTGTGAAACATAACCTTGTTTTCTTGTTTTTTTTAGCGTAATCTTGGCGTTTCTTGCAGAGATTTAAGCAACAATCGCATTGGCGGAAGTATCCCTTCCACGTTGCCTGTTACCTTACAGAATTTGTATGTTCTTTTACTCCCAGGAAGCAAAAATCTGCTTAGATTTCAGTATCTCGCCATATGTATGAAAGTCTTTAAGCTCTGGGCAGGTTCCTTTCAGACAACAAGTTTACAGGAAGCATTCCAGAATCTCTTTCCTCCTTAAAATTGCTGGCAGATATGTAAGTCTGAGCCAACCTCTATCAAATGTTCTTGTAGAATGCACTGCTTGAGAGATCACCTTCCATTTCTGCCATTTCAGGTCCCTGAACAATAACCTTTTGTCTGGAGACATACCCGACGTCTTTCGAGATCTTGGCGGTCTGATCAATTTGTAGGCCTGCCTCTTTAAAAAACCAAGCTGTTAAGATCTTGTCCTATCGATTGACTTAAACTGAGAATCTTGCTTACATTTGTGTAGAGATTTGTCTAGCAACAATCTGACTGGGGTATTGCCTCCTTCCATGCAGAGCTTGTCCACTCTTACAACCTTGTACGTTTTCTGATCAGTTCCCCATGCATGCATATTCTGTTGAACATGTTCTTGCTGTAACTGCGAATTCTGAAATTCTCCTCTGGCAGACGTTTGCAGAACAATCAACTTTCAGGAAAACTCGACATTTTGCAGGACCTTCCGCTCAAGGATTTGTAAAGTTCTCATCCATTACGCCTTCTTCCGTCGTAAATCAACATCTATATTAGTTTATTTTGCTGATTCTTGTTTTCTTGCGGCGCAGGAATGTCGAGAACAACCTTTTCAATGGACCTATACCAGACCCGTTACTGGACATACCGAATTTCAAGTAAGTGCGAGAAGTTTTTTCCATTTCAAGAAAGTTCTGTTTCGTCGGCAACATATTTGTCTAAGTGTTTTGATGCAGAAAAGAAGGGAACCCTTTCAATCTCACCATTGCACCATCACCTGGACCTGAACCTGCGTCGCCAAAAAGTCCGCCTTCACCTGTGCGACCCTTTTTCAGACAGCCGTCCACCAACACGTCTTCTGGCCGTGGTCAGACACAGCCTCGATCACACGGAAGGCCTCCCCCTCCTCGGCCATCCTCACCAGAGGTGGCTGAAAAGCCAAAATCAGTTGCCTCTACAAGAATTGTCTGGATAACTATTGGTGGGGTTGTTTCCTTTATAGTTTTGGCACTGGCTTGTCTGCTTTGCTTTCCAAAGAGTATCAGAAGAAGAAAAGACAGCGATTCGATATGCAAAGCACCAAGGGAGAGCGAAAAACTCCATAAAGGTAAATATATATTCTGATTCTTGATCTTTAGATCTTAACAAAACCATCAATCACGTTTTTTAAACATTTTCTTGCACCAGTTTCAAAAGATTCAATGGTAAGACCAAAGGAGGTTGAGAGAATAGGAGGAGCTCCAAAGCTGCAGGGTGAGGCAGAGAGAAATATACAAAGTGCAAGAGCAATTCCCAGCCATGAGATAGACATGAGCTATTTCGATACAAATTTGATACCGCCACCTCCCCCACCACCTCCTCCTATCATCAAAAGGGTCACTGAAACTGATAAAGTTCCAACCACTGCTATGAACGATAGACCGTCAACATCTGTGAGGCGTTTCACCATTGCTTCTCTTCAACAGTACACAAATAGCTTTTCCCAGGAAAATCTTGTTGGGTCTGGCATTCTTGGCAGTGTCTACAGGGCAGAGCTCCATGGGGGAAAGGTAAAGGTTCTGTCTCTGGCCTTTGCATTCTCTCTTGATGTAGTCTTGCTCTTACCTTCTATTTTGTGTGTGTGGTTTCTTTCCTTTTTTGAGTATAGACACTTGCTGTGAAGAAATTGGACAAGAAGGCTTCAAATGATCAGGCAGATGAAGAATTCACCCGGCTAGTGAACAGTATAAACAGAATCCGGCACGCTAACGTTGTTCAACTTGTGGGTTACAGTGCCGAGCATGGTCAGCAGCTTCTGATCTACGAGTATTGCGGAAATGGTACACTTCAAGATTTGCTACATTCTGACGACGACAGGATGAAGATTAAACTTTCGTGGAGCTCCCGTGTTAGGATGGCACTAGACGTTGCCAAAGCTCTGGAGTATGTTCATGTTCTGTTCCATAACATCATCATTTAGTTTTTGAAATGAGATGTGCTCAGTTTTAGCAATTCTTGTGACATTTTACTATGTTTTCTTGGCCAAGGTATCTGCATGAGATCTGCGACCCGCCTGTTATTCACCGAAATCTCAAGTGTGCAAACATTCTCCTCGACGATGATCTTAACGTGCATGTCTCGGACTGTGGCCTGGCTCCGTTAATCTCCTCGGGTTCTGTGAGTCAGGTCAGTCAGACATCCTAATGGCATTTGAAGGAGACAACCACAGTTGCAGAGTTTCCAATATTTGATTATGTCCAAACTTGTTCATGTGTTTTCAGCTGTCTGGACATCTCTTAGCAGCATATGGATATCGAGCTCCGGAGTTTGAAAATGGGATATACACGTCGAAATGCGACGTGTACGGTTTTGGAGTAGTTATGTTAGAGCTCTTGACGGGTCGGAAGCCGTATGACAAGTGAGTGAGTCAGGGAGTTATGTCTTTGTTTGCTGCATCATTTGGTCCATAATCTGTTGTGAAATTAAAAAAGAGAACCCTTTTTTTCCGCAGGAACCGTAATCGGAATGAGCAGTTTCTGGTCCAATGGGCGATCCCCCAGCTCCATGATATCGATGCATTATCCGGAATGGTCGATCCATCTCTCAATGGCGAATATCCCGCTAAGTCTCTGTCACATTTTGCTGACATTATATCACGTTGCGTTCAGGTAAGAAGAGGCATTACAAAAAACAAGGCCACTTTCTTTATACATGTCCGATTCAACTGATTCCGTCCCTGAAACCTTTCTGTGAGCAGTCGGAACCAGAGTTCAGGCCGCCGATGTCCGAAGTCGTCCAGGACCTCTCCGACATGATACGAAGGGAGCATCGAAGAAACGGTTCAAACGGAGACTAGTTTTCTTTCAAAAGGTCGGATCATCTCGCCGGACATGGACATGCGAATGGCTCTGTTCCAAGCTGTAGTTGTCAGTCATTGTATTATTCCTTCCGATTGTTTTTTTGTGATCATCTTTATTTGTTCAATTTTTAAGCGTAAAATGAGAATATATATATATATATAGAAAAAGAGTATCTTTCTGCTGTATGAGACCCTCGGACCCAGGTGGAGACTTTCCTTATACGCGTGAGTCATGACCGTGAATTGAATTTATAAATCTATTGAGAGTTTCATCGTCTTATCCTCACGCGCCAAACGTTCCCAATTCAGTTTCTCATCCATTTTCCTGAGAACCAAACGTAACCGAGAAAACAGTTCCTCGCTACCAGTGACCCTCGACGAATTGCCTTATTCACTGTCAGCACTCTCGGCCGCGTCGCAAATCTAGTTTTTGTTTTTCTTTTCGGCTGCTTTTCCTTTCTTTCCAACGCGAATTTCCAGATCTGACTATATTGGATCTGCTGTTACGATTCAATGTCTCGCTACGACTCTAATCCGTTTGAAGAGGACGAGGTCAATCCCTTCGCGGTAAGATTTAGGGTTTGATATGATTCTAGTTCTCGGGTCTGTGATGTGGATTCGTTTGGGATCCTTTTCAACAACTTGGTTTTTTTTTTTTTTTTTTTTTTTTTTTGCTTCTGCTTTCGTTCAATCTCTATCAGATCTGCTTCTTCCGATTCCGATTTCCTCGTCCGCTTGGCAACTGGTGTAGCTTTTGTAATTTTTTAGATCGAATTTCGGTGTAGAGGGTGATATGAATGCGGTTATTAAGATGGTCAGCAAGACGGTGGGATTCGTTTTTTGTTGGTTCGGAAAGAAGACAGTTTTTTTTTAATCATGGATGCTATGACGTTTGCCTGAGCTTGGTTCATCGCTTCGATTGCCCTCTATTGGGCGACATTTTGGATCCATATGGTTATTGGCTTAGGAGTTGGAAACTGCGGATTTAGAATCTGTTGGAATTGCAGAGTTTGATAAAGGTTTCGAAATGCAATTGTGACAAGTTTCTAAAGGGCTCGTCTTTCTAGGGTAATCAATGATTATTAGAGACCAAAGTTATGCGTGAATGATGATCAATGTAATGCCGCCCCTTTGAGTTTCTAGTTGATTCATTTCTGTTGACCAAATCTTACATGGTTCATCAATTTCAGGACCAAAGTAACAAAAAGGGGACAGGGCAGTCAAATTTTGGTGGAGGTGCCTTTTTTATGCCTGTATGTTGTTTTAATCTCTGGAAACTTTTATTTTCGTTTACAGAAATTGGAGTCAATTAATTACAAAATGTACAAACTGCAAATAGCAATTATAACATCACTTAATTGTAAAGAACCTGCGACAATGTGATGATTGTTGAAACTTCTGTGATGATCCATGTTCTCTTTTTCTTTTCCTGGATGCTGCAAGAGTTTTGGCTCCCAGTTGTTACTCATCATGTGTTCACCACCTTGATGTTAGTTAGTTCATGTCAGTTGAACTAAAAATTTTCCATATTTCCATCACTGTGTCTTTACGAGGGCCTGTAAAAACATTGAATTGAAAACATCGTTCCTCCACTTCAGAAGTTATGACTCCGTTCCAAGGTGCTAATTGATAGGGTTTTTTATTGTTAAATTGTTTTGAACTTCCAGAATTCTGGAACTGTTCCTCCTGCAACATCAAAGCTTTCCCCTCTTCCACCTGAACCATATGATCGTGGTGCCACAATTGATATTCCTCTTGACTCTGGGAAGGTTTTACTCCGAATCCAATTGATATTCGAACTGCCTAGTATATCTTACAATTCTCTCTGTGCAAAATTGACTATTTCCATCTTCTAGGATGTGAAAGCTAAGGAGAAAGATCTTCAGGCAAAAGAGGCTGAACTGAAGAGGCGGGAGCAGGTATTTTCATGTGTGCTTGGATCAGGCCTACTTATGTCTGACAATTCTGATATCACTTATAAACATAGTTGTTTTCATTTGGCTCAAACCCTCAGTTTTGTTAACATTGAATTGTATCTTATTTAGTCTCCAACTTATCTAATCGGCAAAAACTTGTCCGTTAGTAACTGACTTCCCAAGTATATGTCTATGTGGTTTATGAGTATTGCTCTGTTTGTTTTTCAGGAACTAAAACGCAGAGAAGATGCAATAGCAAAAGGTATTTTCATCACTTTTATTTGTGGCAACTCGATATGTGTTTCCATGCAAAAGCTCATATCATCTTCCTTTACACAGCTGGGATCGTGATAGAGGAAAAAAATTGGCCTCCATTTTTTCCTCTCATTCATCATGACATTGCAAATGAGATACCTATCCACCTGCAGCGGATCCAATATGTTGCGTTCACCTCATTGTTGGGTACGTTCATTTGATTTCTCCTTCTCTAACACAAAGCTTCACAGTTAGGAAAAAAGGGGGGTTTATTGAGTATGGCCAACTCTATTTGTGTATGTTTTGTAGGTCTTGTGGTGTGTCTGTTATGGAACATTGTTGCTGTTACCACTGCATGGATTAAGGGAGAAGGTTGGTCTTGGAGCCTAACCCGTTTGCCAACTTGGCCTTGTATATTACGTTAATATGTTCACTCGTGTATTCTGCTGTAGGTCCAACAATATGGTTTCTTGCTATTATTTATTTCATATCTGGGGTTCCTGGAGCTTATGTTATGTGGTATCGGCCTCTTTACCGTGCCATGAGGTATGTCCTATGCATCCATGCCTTTTCAGATGTGACTTTGGGGTAGTAGTTCCCTTGCATTGTACTTGTGATCCGTTGGTTTTCCCCAAAGCATCGCAAGATATCCTAGAAATTCGTTTACTGGTTACATGAGAGTATTGGCCTATTCTGCAGGACTGACAGCGCTCTGAAGTTTAGCTGGTTTTTCTTGTCGTATCTGGTGAGTACTTCATCATCTTTCCTGATGCTTCTTGGGTAATATCTGCAAAACGAGTAAAAACCCTAAGCATAACTTGCCAATGAATGCAGTTCCACATCGGATTTTGTGTATTTGCTGCGGTTGCTCCACCAATCATCTTCAAGGGCAAGTCGCTCACGTAAGTGTTTCGAAACCAATGATGGCAATGAATTAACTTGGCAGTGGAATGCGATATATCATCTTCAGTCACTACCATAATTTTGACTCCAATTGGCCCATGTTGATTGATGTCACAGGGGTATCTTGCCTGCCATTGACGTCTTGAGCGGGAATGCCTTAGTTGGGGTAAGTTTAGAATTAGGTGACACTATTAGAGGGTTTGGTGGTTAGTCTTCTAACTGTCTGGAAACATGCAGATCTTCTACTTCATAGGCTTTGGTTTCTTCTGTCTGGAGTCACTGATCAGTATCTGGGTTATTCAGGTTCCACAATCAGACCCCCTCTTTCTGTTTGAATGTCATTTCTTGGTTGATCTGTGACAAAGCTGATTATATATGTGTGTGGGCGTGTCTGTGTGCAGCAAGTGTACATGTACTTCCGAGGAAGTGGGAAAGCAGCGGAGATGAAGCGTGAGGGGGTGAGAAGGACAATGATGGCTGCGCTATGACATGATGATAATCAACATTCATACATATAAAAAAAAAGGCATACGTGAGGGTATCATGGCTCTTTTTTTGTTGGGTTTGGTTGTCGGAATGAGAGTGGCAGTGGGTGTGAGGGGTGGGCCTTGCCTTGCGGGAGTTGGACCATCGTTACGTTCGTTCGTTCATTCACATTGGGAATTGGAGATAGTGTGTGTGATTTGATTTCCTACACATTAAGTTTTAGACTCTACTTACACACACACACACACACACATATATATATATGCATGGTTGCTGTTCGGATTATGTCTTACTTCTCCGAAGCTAGGATAACCGAGAACAATGTAACTCTTGACCATTATTCCAGAGGTTTACAGCAACATCTATGCTAACATTTCATTAGAATCACGTGTTTATAACCCTGAACAGAAATGATCATCGAAAAGGATACCATAGAAAGGAAACGGGCCTACATGGTGTCAAGTTTGGTAGCTAATGAAAAACAAAATCTTGATTAAAGGGACGAGACGGATGCCATTTTTGAGTAGGAGTGACGAGTGAGGGTTGTGGTGGGTCTGTGCCATGTTCGACCTACGGAGAAACCATTATATATGGATAGACATAGCACAAGCCGGGAGTAGGAAAAGGGTTTATCACAACTAAATGCAGACAACTGCATAGACGTTTGAATAAAACGTTTAAAATATCCTTAAAATTTGTAAAAATACTAATATATATCTCATTGGCGATTTTGTTTAGTATTGTGATTTGAGTTTATTTTTTATATTATATTTTTTTTACAAAAATATAATAATATCACAAAATTATATAATTTTTAGATTTAGTAATAATTATTTTATATATTTATTTGATATAAAGTTACTTTTTATTATAAAATAAATTAAATTAATGAAAAATATATTTAAAATTTATATTTAATTATTTTATAAATTTAGTAAATAGTTTTTGTCAAATGTTAATAAAAAATTAATTATAATTAAATTTAAAAAATATTTTAAAATTAGATTTTTTTTTTATAATTTATATTAAATCGCAATCGCAATCATAATCAACCATTTAATTCTAATTACAACCAACCACAATCGACATCAAAAGAACCACAACTTATCAATCATTTAGTATTAACCGTCCTCTAGAAAAGTTATGAAATCGCAACAACCCCCCTAATTATGAGAATATGTAAGTTACAATATCATAAAACACACACACGCAATAATGTTGGGGGGAATTCTATGCCACACCATTAGAAGAGAAGCTAATGAGAATGGAACCAGAAATTGGGTCCGGTTTATAAAACTCATCGCTTTAATGACACATCAATTTCGGCCCTTCTGGCCTCACTCCACCAACTTGTTTCTTGCATTCATCATCCCCTTCTCTCTTTCTTTAATACCATATATATTGTTCTATTAGAGGTAGTGAGAAAAAAGAGAAGGCGTAACATGAATTCGAGGGGGAGAGAGAGGGAAACTAAGAATAGCATAGCATTGGGGTGCGACCGCTGTGGAGGGCACCTGGCTACACTCCGCACGTATAGTAATATTGGATTCTTAAAGATGGAATAGGAATATTTATTCGTTTTTTTTTTAATTATTTAAGCCAATTGGCGAGGAGCGAATCGCAAGTGGCACGACGACCGATGAACTAGGAAGAAAGGCAAACACCCCATTAACAAAAAAAAAAGAAAGGCAAACACCCTTCGAGAGAGAGAGAGTTTTGTGCTCAAACAAAAAAAAAACATGGGAAAAAATAGAAAACAGAGGGAAGAGAGGAGGAGAGAGAAAGGGTTTAGGGTTTTTAGGACCTGAAGTCTGAAACTGAAACCCAAAAGCAGAGATCAAATCCTAAAACTTGTGTCTTGTCATGCTTCTCTCTCTCCTCCTCCCATTATATATATATATATATAAATACGGGCGTATATATATGGGCGTATTCTTTTAGAGTAAATAATAATAATAATAATGCATATTTATTCACACTTCCAATGCCCCACGACTCTTGTTTTTCTTGGCCAGCTAATTTCACATAAAACAGAATCGCCTCCACACCCAAAGTGCTCTCTTTTCTCTCTCTTCTTTGGAAAAGCTGAAAGCTTTGGATTTTTGGCGACTTAGATCTCTCCCCCGACGAGATTTCTTTTGAGATGCGTGCTCCTTTAGGGCTTTTCTGGCTCCTCCCTTTTATACCCCTAAACGAGGCCGTTCCTTCTCCCCCTCCCTCTCCCTTGTACGCTTAATATTACAGATCCGGAGAGAGAGATATGGCGGATGGGAGAGAGAGACAATGTGGGTCGACACTGTTTAGCGCAGATGAGCTCAGAGAGATAAGTGGGGTCAAAATAGGGGGAGATCACGTGGAAGTTATGTGTGGTTGTACAAGCCACCGATATGGCGATGCTGTTGGCAGACTTAAGGTTTTCTCTAACGGCGATCTCGAAATCACCTGCGAATGCACTCCCGGCTGCGACGAAGGTCCTCTCTCTCTCTCTCTCTCTCTCTACAAAACCACGTCTCTAAAGGCTTTGCCAGAATGGGTTTTTGATATATGTGCATGTTGCATGTGAGTGTGAGATTGACGACGTCGATGCCTCTCTCTCTCTCTCTCTCACTCTCTCTCTCTCTCTCCCCTTCAAGATGTTTTGCCTCGGGTGCTACTGCCTTTTCATTCTCTTCAGTTTCAGGAAAGATTTATACAAACAAACCAAGAGAGACCGACCTAAGCTTCCTTTGATAATGTCCTTGATCACCTTCTCTAGTTTTCCCCTCTCCTTTTTTAATAGCATTCATCTTCACACTGTCTCTTGGCTATGATAGATTATATATGTCATGAAGGTGTGTAGACGAACGAGAAAGTTCATGCTGTATGTTTATGTCTGGTTCTTGATGCCCATCACCAGATTTTAATGGGTTTGTGTATGTATTTACCCCTTTGCCGAGATGGAAGATTTTCTGCCACATGATATGCCTCGAGGGGTCCTTCACATATTTTTAGTATTGGTTGTAGACAAGTTAACTCCGGCTGCGTTCGAGAAGCATTCGGGGAGAGAGACGGCAAGAAAATGGAAAAACAACGTGTGGGTGATCGAAGGTGGCAAGAAGATTCCTCTTTCAAAGACAGCATTGCTCAGATACTACAACAAAGCATCATCAAAGAACAACTCAAATGGTTCAGACAGATGCAATGGCACCCATAGAGATGAGTTCGTTCAGTGCCGCAGATGCCGAAAGGAGAGAAGGTTCAGGTTGCGGACCAGAGAAGAGTGCCGTTTGCACCATGATGCACTGGCCGATCCAAATTGGCAATGCTCTGATTTCCCGTATGACAAGTACGTACGCGCTTATAGAGTGGGCGTATTTTTACTTTCAGATAATAAGCTGAATGTGATATATTATGATCCCAATGTTATGGTTTTATGAAAAAATAATGGTGAAGGATAAGGTGCGAGGAGGAGGAAGAGAGAGGGAGCAGGAAAGTGTATAGAGGATGCAAGCGTTTGCCGACATGCAAAGGATGCACATCATGCGTTTGCTTCGGCTGCCATTTCTGCCGTTTCTCGGACTGCAGCTGCCAGACTTGCCTCGACTTCACGACCAATTCCTCCAAAGCTTGAGCCTTTGAAACTGAGGGCTTATTACCTTTTCTTCCTAATTCTGTGTTTATGTCCTCTGCTCGTTATTCTTGAGCTGCTGTTAGGACAGTAAAGAAAGAGAGAGAAAATGAAAACCAGATGAGGAAGACAGAGGATTTTCCTTGAATCCATACAAGCCTCTTTTGGAAGAAGATTAGATCATGAGCCATGCATTATTGAGGATATGATCATATGATCAAAGCCCATGCTTTCAAGAATCACCTGTTTTGGTTTTGGACAATAAAATCTCCCCAAAAAAAAGGTGAAAATGCATATTATTTCCAAGCAAAACAAATGGTAATTTGCCTCTTCCCTTGATACAAAACCATTAGCCAAGCAAAGATTAACTGAGATTCAGACTGCTGGAACAAGAACAAATGCAACAGAAACAGAGAGCCCCCAACCGGTGAAGCATCTTCCCTCCTGTAAACATCAATCAAATTCACTGGGTGGCCTCCTCCAGAGGTTTCTGTAAAGATTTAAGAAGAATTAGAGAGCAAAAGAAGCTGATCAGGCGAAGTAAATCATCGACTATACGACGGATAAAGGAGGTACCTCTCCTTTGTTGTTGCTGCCTTTGCCTCCGGTAAAGAACTTGTATCCGCCATAAAAGAGCAAGCCCCAACCGGAAAGCGAAATAAGCACAAACTGCACAATCATAAATCACAGCTCCATGAATGAAATCTGTCTTGTCCAAAATGATAATTCTAACGAGTAGGAGGAGAATGAGGCAAAGTTACATGTTCCTCTTTCCACTGAGCAGGGTTCATGGGTTCTTGCCAGAAGTTGACCTTGGGAGGCCCATGGTGATCTGCATAATGCCCAAAACCCCAAATTGTTCAATGGCACATTTCGATTTAAGATACATCTTACAGTGGCGATTTCGAGGAACGGGAGAAACAAAACAACAAAATTTAGCACATCAAACACGAGATATCTGGGTAAAGTTTTAATTGTTCATATTGTACGCCAAGATATAGTACGAACACGATCTGACAAATATGAGATGCGGAAAACGACATGTACAGACGAAATGTATTCCAAGAGAATTGACAGATGCGATAAATGAGAGAGAGAGAAAGAGTACCGGCGGCGCCGGCGAGACCACGGTGCTGAGCAATAGAGGGAGCTCCGGCTAGAATCCGACGAGATGGGATCTGAGCGATGCTCATTGCTCGGCGAGCGAAGGACGCCATCGACCTTGAAACCTGCAGCTGATTTAGGGTTTTCCTCGAGGATCTGAGGGTCTTCGCAGTTCTCCGGAGACGATGATGCAGCAAAGCAAAGGTGGAATAAGCCCAAGCAACTGATGAGTTGATAGAAAATTCTGCCTTTCTGAGAACAAACGGCGTCGTACTACACAACCCTCCTCCTCTACCAGAGGCTCCCCCTCCAGTTTTTCCATTCAACCAATAAACCTCCTCAGAATAAAACGACATCGTGTTTTGAATTGGACCAGTTTCTTTCTTCACATGAAAAAGCGACAGTATCTACGGATTTCATAGGCCCATATAAGATATATTTAGGCTTGGGCCCATTGAGGAACGCTGTAATCGTAAGGCTAGGGTTTCTGACTGAGAGACACCTTGCGCACATATAAGAGGAGGAGGAGCCGAAACCATGGATGCCACTCTTCATAATTTTAGGTTTTGCAAACTGGGGTTTGAGTTTGAGTTTGAGTTTTTTTCTTTCTTTCCAGATTGCCTCACCACACCTTTAGCCTGGTTTCGATGATGGATGAAATCAAAGGCTAGTCATAGAGGCATACATTACATTCTGGGCGGTGTCATAACGTGGAGGCTATAATTCCTTTTTTCAGTGTTTAGCCTCTAAATTCATCCGCTACATTCTCTCTCTGTTCATCAAGTCGCAAGCTTTTCGTAATGATCTTTACCTGATTTCGTTTATTTATCGAAACCAGTCACCATTGGTTGATTCTGGTGAAATGGGCAATGAGGGTTTTTGTTGACTGATGATACAAGAAGCTGTTTCTTCACTTGCGGAATACTTGTGTTCATCTTCTTGATTTACTCCCCACTGACAGGGTAAAATCTATCGTTTAAAATTTGACGAGAAAAGATATGTGCTTTACTTTTAATCGACTGTAGAAATCCCCAAGTTTCGGAATCCTAATTGAATTGAGCATTGTGCTCTCCCCAAACTCGGCATCTCCTTTTGAACGTACTTTCACGGATTCCTTCCTTTCTGCAGCAGACAGAAATGTCCTCTTACTTCACAGCCGCATCTGTTTTCAGATAGCGTTGGTCACAGTCGTGGCTATCTTGGTTAATAACTATGATCCGACTGAATCTGATATAAGATCGAACTGAATTCAAATTCAATCCAATCCCCATATAACCGAAACGAATTCGAAATGCGAACCATTGGCCAAACAAAATATAGTAAACGTTTATTATTCTTGAATTTTCAGCAATTGCCATTACATGGATCAATAAGGACCCAATGCTCTATATGGCCAGGCCAGCTCTATATGGACACAAATTTCTTACCCAATTCCCATGTAAACATCATGTCATATTTCATTCAAGTTCAGTCCTCACCCTCGAACCTCAGAGACTGGGAAAAGGCGAAGTAGCGCTCTTTGCCTTCCATTTCCGCAACCCTCTTGGCTGCACCCGAATCACGGGGGCTCTCGGCTGTGAGACGAAGCGTCCTGATCCTTGGCAGCTCCTTCCCCACTGGAGTCTCCTCACTCTTGTAAACAACCACTTGGCTTGGAATCTCCCATCTTCTCTTCACTCTGCTCTCGCTCTTCACATTCTCTTCTTTCTCGTCTGAAGCCCTTCTCTTCTCCGACCTGTTCTTATACTCCACTTCGTTCTCTGGCAATGAACGTTTCCGTGCATCTTTCTCACCGGCCACCGTTTTGCTTATCTGATTGTATTTGCTGGCCACCATTCTTCCTGGTTTCAACGGTTTCTTCAAACCGACCGACTTTTCTCCGTCTTTGAACAGCCTCTTGGGCTGAATGCTTGACAGAATCCCTTCTTCTTTCTTCACCGGTCGCTTAGATCCCACTGTTGTCGCTGCTTGCTTCTTAACTGCACCAACCTCCAATGCTGCTTTGCGAGATCTCGGGCTGAGACTCAGACTCGTTCGTTCCCTCCCTTTCGGCACGACTTTGCCTTCGTCAATGTCCGGAAGCTTCCAGAAACACGACTTGCGACGATTCTGCGCCGACTGTAGTGGAGTCGCCGTTTCGGTTTTGGTTTTGACTGAGAAAATCTCCGCAGGTCCTAGGCTAACGCCTCTGCGATTGATCTTCGACTTCGCGCTGGGAAACAAAGCATCTGCTATGTCGTGATGATTCTTGACTGTCTTTTTCTGCGGCTCCATGAACTTCGCTGGCACGATTCTTCCCCTGAGGGAAATGTTTCTGGCCGTTTGCTCGGCCTTCTGGAGGCGGAGCGAGTCCAGTCTAGCCGACAAGCGGTTGATCTGCTTTTCTACTTCCTCGATCTCCGCATCAATGTTTCGATCTTCCCGCTTTTTATGCTGATCCGTGCAGTGCATGATCGTCACGGTCTTCGCTTTTGCTGAAGGAGCTTCAAAACCGACCTTCGGTGGCTTCTCTTGGACGTTAATGGAGGACTGGAGCGAAGAGAAGACGGAAGGCGGAATATAATTCTCCTTGCTACAATCAGAATCGAATGACTCGTGGACGCAATCGGGAGGAAGATTAGGCCAGCAAGTCCTGATGGCGTAAGAATCCTCGGAATCTCCATTGTCAAAGGCGGCGTTGTTCCAGATCTGGAGCTCCGGCGCGTTTAACTCTTCTCGAAGTTCAATTGCACTCATTTTCAGAGAGATCTTATCTTCGTATCGGAGAAAATACTTGAAAATTAGGGTTCTGGAATAGCGTATGGGAGAGAAAGGAAGGAAGAGTGATGAAGAAGAGGGAGGGAGAGGAGGAGGTGTATTTCTTGGGAATTATTTGACCGTTGGGGATAGGAGAGACGTTATGGAGCCTACACGCTCCCACCCCGTTTTATTACTTTTCAAATGAGTTGAAAACTCCAACTGAATCAGAGTCACTTAGTAGTGGGTCGGTGAAATGAAGTTACGTGTCCATACGGAACTCGTCTTTCTTAATTCGAGCCCTATATTTTGGGCCTATTGGGCCCATGACAAAGCTCCGGCCCACGCTCGTTAGATACGCTGCTTTTTAAACAAGAAGTTAAAATATAAATATATTTTTTAAAACGTCTGAAAGAATATAATGTAATATTAATGGTTATTAGATTTGAAATGTAAATAATCCGATCATTCGGAGGCATAATCTTTTAAATCGTAAACTTTATCTTATAAGTGATGTTAGGTTTCACTAAATAAACCTTCAAAAAGATTCAAGGGTGTTTTGGTGCACGTATATTCGACAGGAAAGTTTATCATCATATATTTTTATGTGTTGTGGTGCTTGCATAAGAAAACAAAATTGACCTAATGACAGGCCTCCTGCTTTTTTATTATTATAATTGGCCCGTACCCAATGACACGTCTAATCGGATAATGACATTTGATTATCTTAGAAACTTTTTTCCCTATTTAATTAAAACCCAAATTTAAATATTTATTTGTTAAAGTTAAATATTAATATACGGAGCTCAATTATTGCGGTGCGATGGATTACAGAAATCCACTTTGGAGTTCTCAATCACTGGCAAAATGGGTTTTGATAAAATGGATCAGACAGACGAGGCTCCAAAGCTTCTTTCCTTCTTTTGATGATCATCTACCATTTACAGGAAAACTCAAAACTATTCACAGTTTTCAGCTACAAATCTGACTCGGTCTGATCTCCCGATTCGTTTGTCTACGGAACGCAGCACAGATACAAACAACGGATCATCGATCTAACATCAGAAATTAGCCTTGGCCCCAGCAGTTGAGGTACATGACATGCCGGAACGATTCGTCCGGCGAAGAAGAAAACTGACGCCGGGGATCTTCTCCGGTGAGATCGTCGACGGGTAGAGGTTGGAGATCGGAGGAGAGTCTCCTCTGGAGACGGTTGGCGGAGCTCAGGCCGGCTTTCCATTTGCCGCCATGATCGCCGTGGCTCTGCATCACCGCCACCGTCGCCGCCATCCATACCTTGTTCAAGTAACTCATTTTTCTAAAATCCGATCGAATGTTTGGAATTCAGAGATGCGAATGAATCTGTGAAGAAGAAGAAGAGTGAATTTCCGGGGGAGACGAGGGGAAAGTGGGTGGGGGGTATTTAAAGAAGACAGAAATGAGGGATGGGTGAGGGGTAAAATCGGGAATTAAATAAACCACGAAATACCAAAACCACGGGTTATCGGGTCACGGTTTTGTTTTGAAGGCGGACTTGACGATAATTTGATATTCTCGTCTCCCGCTTTTAAACGACCGAATCTTTTATTTGTTTTGTAGAGGGTAATCCAAGATGGGTTCAAAATTTGGAAAACAGTAGTTCGTGTATCTATTTTACCGTTTTGTCATTCATATTTGAACTTTTATTTATTTATTTTGTACATATTATATTTCAACACGATTCAAAACTAATATAAATCAACAAACTAAATCGATGAAAACAATAAGGAAAATGAATTAATTATTTATTAGTGAGATAGCTATAATAATTGGGTTATGTATATTTTTTTTAATACGATTGAATAGACAGATAAAAATAGATACATAGTATATTTTAGAATAGTCATTTTGATTATTAATCGAGAATTGAATAAGATATAATTTTAATCGAATTTAATCTTATATAAAATTAAATAGTTATAATTTTTTTATCTAAAAAAATTGAAATCGAATCAAAACTAACTGATTTAAAAAATAAAAAATGATATTTTTTAAAAAAAATGAGATTTAAAAAGATTCACGAACTAAACTAAAATTTATTTGAAAACTAAATAATTATAATTTTTCTATAATCGAATGCAAATATAATCAAATCGAATCGAAAGCTAAAATAATCAGTCATAATTAATTTATTTGTTTATAAAGGTCATGATGGGTGAAGTGAAAATGAGGATGGATGCAATGAACGATATGAGATATTGGGGAGAAAATGAAATAGAAATACGGGGGAGAGAAAGGGTGGATGAGTAGCGGGTAAGATGGAGACATGTGGCCCCTTACCCTTATCCTCAGACTCGATGAGTCATCCCATTGTGCAGAGTGTGGACCGCTCGTGGGTCCCATCTTTTGTCTTTTTCTCTTCCTTTTTCGCTCTTTTGGAATGTAATGAAATTTATTTATAAATAAAATTTTGTCTTCTTATATCTTTTTTATACATCGAAATGAGAGACTCGAACAGTAATTGATCCTCAATTTTCTAGCTGAGTTGAGGTAAATTTCAGATAAATAATGAAATATTAATTTAGTTATTTAAAAACTGTAGTATGTTAATAAGTTCATAATATACATATATTAACAAATTCTGGACATAAAATGTTAATTTGGTAAGGTGCGTGGAGTGGAGGTGGCGATCACGTGGGGAAGGAAGACCGAGGCATTTGGGGTGAGATTTTAAGCCGCTCACGAGTGGACGTATACAAACACCCGTAGGTTGTCGGGTACTCGGTTTCCTCGGTGTTCATGTCACCAAAACTTAATAAAAATTATATACAAAGCAGTTGTAATAAGTAGGATGTCAAATTATTCCCGAGATCCGAAGTTCGGTCCGATCTAGTCCGAAAATTAGCAGATTTCGAGTCCAAATTTACCAGTCCAAAAAAATCGAGTTCTCACGTCAAACTCGATTCAGATTTCGGGTCCGAGTCGGACTGTTCCGAAAACCCGATATTTTTTTTTAAAAAAAAAAGAATTACAAAGGTCAGTCCAGTCTAGATCAGTCCGATCCGAGCTCAGAATATATAGGATTGCGTTTCAGACTTAACTAAATAGACCCGAAAAAAATCAAACCAATCCGAATCTGAACCCAAAATCTTCGGGCTAAATGTAGGATCTGGCTCGATTAACACCTCTAGTAAAAAGATTATGTTTTACATATTTTGTTATCACTATATTACCAAAATTTAGATAAAAATTTATTGTGATCATCTAATACCTTGTATTCTATGAAAATATAACGTTTTTCTACGAAATCTTGTTAAGTTAATACTTCTCATTTTTTTTTCCAATAACCATGAGATTCACTAGACTTTCAATCCGCTTAATCCTCTAGACTCGGAGTTAATCTTTAATCACGCAATTAATTGCGTCAACTCTTCTCTACTAATGGAATCAAATTCAAGACTTTGACGTGATTTTATCACCTCTCAAACAATATATCACTTTCTAGTGGATAACCCAATTATTATACTTATCTCACTACATGGCGTTTCTACATTTTTTCTATATCGATTGTTGTAACTTTTTTTTTTGTAACTTACGAAGTCCATGTAAAAGGAACATGAGCTCGGACAATAAAATCTAATATGTTTTGTGACTGCTCTATTTCGTATTAACGGAATTCAGAACTTATCTCGTTCTTCTTCAGCCTAATCCCAACTAGAAAATCATATGTACATGTGAAGGTATATCCCTTCATATCATCGGTCTCATTTGGGTTCAACACCTATATACTTTTTACCGTACCATTCAAATTCAAATGCGATTACTATGGCAAGTCGAAAGCGAAAAATATACGTATCTAAAATTGGGTGGTTCAACCGGTAAGGAAGGAAAGAAAGTTTCTTCCCAATCCGAATTCGTATTCTCACTTAAAGAACGATATTCATATAAACTTCTCCAGTTTCAAATATATAATTGGATTAAAGATTTGGTTAACTTTATCTTATAAAAAACATATATATATATATACACACACGTGACTGAACAACAGTTGCCAATTTGTGAGGAGAAAACTGAACCCTCAAGGGCGAAAAATGTTGACTTTTCTCGAAGCGTTTTGAGAAATAACCATGTTGACTTGATCAAATTGTTTAATGCAGAGCAGATCTGAAAGCCCAACTCAGAACGCTGCCGTTTTACCCCCTCGATTCGTTTTGTTTGTTCCTCCCTATTTCTTTCTTAGAAATCAAACCAACGATTAAAAAAAGTTTCGGACGTAAATCTCTGATCTCAGAAAGACTAAAAATCGACGAAGAATGGCGGCGTTCGACGATGGAGATTTCCCGGCTCAGACCCATTCCCCGACGGATCAGCCGCCGTTCCACGATGAATCGTATATGGGGATGGGCTACGACAATTTCGCCAATCCGCCTCCACCTCCTCCCGCCATCAATGGCGACGGAGCGTACGGATCTGAGCATCCTTTGTCTCCCGATGGCTATGGAGAGTACGCGTCGCCTTTCGATTCGTCTGTGATGGATGCCAATGGCAACGGCAACGGCGGCGGCGATGCGGTCTTCGCTTCCGACGGCCCGATTCTCCCAGATCCAAATGAGATGCGGGAGGAGGGTTTCAAGCGCCGCGAGTGGCGCCGGTTAGTTTTTTCTTCTTGACTTGGATATCTTTTTTCCTATTACGAAAGATGGCTAGATCTCTGCTTGCGATTATGGTAGATAACTAGATCGTGGTATCTTATTCATGAAATCTTTGAAACTTCCATTTATGTTATATAGGCATCAATATACCTGGCGTTGGTTCATGAGTTAACATATTTGGTTTTTCCATAGTTTGATGTGGTCGGATCGTGATCGCTAATGGCTTAATGCACCTCTCTCCTCGAGATTTTGGAGGTCATTGCTGTAAATCCTGTTGATTGATTCGCAATCAAAGAATCCGAACTAGGTCTCCTTTGTTTGATCGGAATCCAATTACAAAGAACAGCGATTCTCTTCTGTGGTCTAATTTCTGATCCTCGACTGTGATCCCGATTTAGAAACAAGTTTTTTGATTTTGGGTTAGTCTGTCGATCTTAGTTTGGGATCAGCTCTCTGAGTTGTCAAACTCAGATTAGGATTACTATGGCTTTCATTAGTAGTCTGGTCGTCTACTCCTATGGTTTCTTCATCGTTCAGGGACAAACCTGCTTTCATCTTTTCATACTTCTCACAATGGGAATGTACCTAGAACCAGTTCTTTTCTGCTTGTTCTGGCTGTATATGAAGATTCTGAGTCAGACATGAATGTCTTGTTCAGCGCGTGTAACTAAATCTAAATCTAGATAACCGGTCTCATTCTGACATTAAATGGGTGCAGTCAAAATGCAATTCACTTAGAGGAGAAGGAAAAGAAAGAGAAGGAGATGCGGAATCAGATCATAGCTGAAGCAGAGGAATACAAGAAAGCTTTCTACGAGAAGAGGGATGAGAACATCAAGACCAACAAGGCTAACAACCGTGAAAGGGAGAAGGTAATAGTAATTACCATTAGCCTCCCTCTCTTGGTCCAAAGCGTCATCGCTTTTCTGATCTTATCCTCTGTGTTTGGAAACCGGGTCTGTTTTTTATGCAGATTAACTTGGCGAACCAAGAGAAATTTCACAAAGAGGTGGACAAGCATTATTGGAAAGCAATAGCGGAGCTGATTCCACGTGAGGTTCCAAACATCGAGAAGCGGAGAGGGAAAAAGGATGCAGAGAAGAAACCATCGGTGTTGGTGATTCAGGGTCCTAAACCTGGAAAACCTACCGATCTTTCGAGAATGAGGCAGATCTTCCTGAAGCTCAAGACCAATCCTCCACCGCACATGATGCCACCTCCTCCTTCCAAAGATGGTAAGGACGGTAAGGATGCTAAAGGCGGAAAAGATGGCAAGGACGGGAAGGATGGGAAACCTGTGGACCCAAAGGCAGTAGCGGGGGACAAACCTGCTTCACCTGGGAAAGATGCTGTAGCTGAGACGGCAAAGCCTGTGTCAGGCGAGGTGGAGAAACCTGCAGCCGAGGCTGAGGGTGGAGCCGCTGCCTCAGCGGAGTGAACAAAAAAGGGTCCCCGAGAATTCCGTTTGGCTGATTGATTCCATTCCATTGAAGCGATTTTATAATCTTGTGTTCTAATAACCTTCGCTTCCGAGAAATAAGAAGACCTGCTCTGCTCTGCTCTCATGGATGCCTTTGTTCCCGATTTTCGATTATATGTTTATGTTTCTACTGAATTTTCGACGATAGGGTTGTTAGTTCCACTTGTTTTGTTTCTTCTCAAAATGGTACACGCCTGTATTTTGTTTGTAATCCCATTTGCGTTTTCTTTTTTTGTTTTGAAAAAAAAATTCGCGAGTTGCAGTCGTGCCACGGTCGCTGCCGATGGACCAGGTAAAGTACCGAAACAAAAGTGGTCAGTTAGATGGTCCGATCAATATGGGCCAAGGTCGAAGCAGTAGCAGCCGGTGACTGCCCTTCTGGAACATATGGAAATTGCCTGAGTCCGACACGTGTCTCTTTGCGAGCTGCGACGGAGGTAATAGCTCCCGCAATGTAGCTGTGCGCCATCAGTAAAGCAACAGTGTCTGCTTTGCAAGCCTTAATTTTATAATAGATGGATGGAGTGTGATCAAAATTAAATATTATTGAGACGTACCTGAAAGGGCCGATCTGACCATTAGAATGGGCTTTAACCCAAACAAAAAAGTAATCGCTCATATAGGCCGGTATTAAAAATGGGTCGTCACCTGGGTGACGAAGTCGTGTGCGCTTTAAAGTCTTAGGGTTTGTGTCCTCTCTCCATCGAATCACCCCCTCCTTCTTCTTGCCTCCCCCCGCCGTCTAATCACTCCCACCCTCTCTCTCTCTCGCCAGAAGGTACAACCTCTATCTCTCTCTCTCTCTCTCTCATTTCTCAGTGTATTGACCCTCCTCACCTCGTCCGTCGTTGTTCGTTGGCGATTGTGATGTTGTTCGTCTTGTTTCGTTGATAGGACAGGATATCAGTTCAATCATGAATGAGAGTCCAGATTTTGTGAACTCGTTTTTGCGTTCTTTTTGTTTGATATTCCAAGATTTCTTCCAATCATTTGCTGCTGTTTATTCGTAACTTTTTAGCTATATAATTAGGGTTTACCTTATGTTTCTGGCAAATATTTCATCTCTATCAGATGTGCTGAATACTATCCTGTTTCTTCCAGGACTTTCTTCTAATCGTTCATAGGCATTTACTGCTTAGTGTTTCTTCTGCGTGGCAACATGGCCGAAGAACCTAATGACACGAGGGAAGAAGGTTCAGCAATGGTTGTTTCGTGATCAATTGTACTATGGTTCGCATGGTTTATTGATGGTTATGTTTTATGACAGGTTGCCCCCTTTGATCCAACAAAGAAAAAGAAGAAGAAGAAAGTGGCAATTCAGGATCCTATTGATGACTCGGCAGAGCCATCGGCTGAGAAAGCTGATTCATTGGCAGGTCTGTATGCTTTAATATGTCAGCTTCTGCAACTTGTTGAACAGTGATCTGTGTCTTTATTGGTTTTTATCTCTGTAAATTCCTTGTCTGAATTCTTTGACTGCAGTCGGTGATGGTCTTGAAAGCACATTTGCTGGTATGAAGAAGAAGAAAAAGAAGCCAGTGAGTTCTGTTTAACATTTAATGCACACTTGATTATCAAATATCCACACTTGATTGATTATGGTTCCTGGAACAATGCCGTACAACTGTTTGATTTGGTTCTCAGGTTGAACCAAGCTCATTAAACGAGGAAAGTGGCGAGGCTGGAGAAGATATGGATGGTGCAACCAAACAGTCTCTCTGCTAAAGCTTTTCTTTTTATACCCTATTTGGGATCTTATTGACAGTTTCTTGCAGACCATGGTATTGATGAGGAAGAGGGCGATGGTATAGACCTTCAGCAGCAGCGTTACCCCTGGGAAGGAAGTGATCGTGATTATGAGTATGAGGAGGTGAATATATAAATGTTATCTTCTATACCCCACCAGTGTTTATCAATATGTTATTTTCTGGGAATGGCTTCGTCTTGATCTAATGCTACCTTTACTTTCTTCCCTCTTCTTGGTTTTGTCTTATTGGGACCATTCATGCAGCTTCTTGGCAGGGTTTTCAATATTCTTCGTGAGAATAACCCTGAGCTTGCGGGAGATAGGCGTCGTACTGTGATGAGGCCGCCTCAAGTTCTCCGTGAGGGTACAAAGAAAACTGTGTTTGTAAATTTCATGGACCTTTGCAAGACGTAAGATGGACCCATGTTTTCCTCTGTAAACTTCCGTTATTCTTAAACCATAGTGATTACTTGTTCTTTGGCACACATAGTGATGCGTTTTAATGAATGTTTGCCATGCAAAACACAGGATGCATCGCCAACCGGATCATGTCATGGCTTTCTTGCTTGCCGAGCTGGGTACAAGTGGTTCTCTCGATGGGCAGCAAAGGTTAGTTGTTAAGGGAAGATTTGCCCCCAAGAACTTTGAAGGAATTTTGCGGCGATATGTCAGTAAGTACATTTTCTCTTAGTCTCAAATTCCATTTTCTCGTTTAACGAAGAGATATTTTTTCTAATGTTATACCTTTCTTTGGATACTTTCAGATGAGTACGTCATTTGCCTTGGTTGCAAGAGCCCAGACACACTTCTTTCTAAGGAGAATCGTCTCTTCTTTCTGAGATGTGAGAAGGTAAACTTCATGCCTTTCGTTCTCTCTCTCGCCTTCAATGCATTTATTTTAACTTCGAAGAAATTTCTGTCTGAAGGCCTATGATGATTGCAAAATTGCCTACATTGTCGGATTCTAATGATGAAGATAATTCTTTTTTACTGAGGCCTACTGCAATTCGTCATTGTGTTTTCTTTATGCATCGAAAAGAGAAAGCCTGTTTTTCGTTCATCTGTTGTGTTTTTTAGATGGGGCCGGTGATGATTGAACAGTTGCCTACATTGTTTGATCTAGCAGTGAAATAGACACTTACAACCATTCTGAGGCCCGAAACTCGGTTTGCTTGGGAATGCTTTACCTTTTCTGTTTCATCATTGCTGGTTCCTTGAACCATAGACAGGCCTATGACGATTAAAACATTGCCTACATTGTCTGATAGACTAGTGATAGTGACACGAAAACTTATTCCGAGGCCTATTGCTTTCCTTCCTTAAAGCATTGGTTATTGCATTGACTGATAAAAAAAATTTCTTCTGAATCCGCCTCATGAATTACACACCCGTTTCCTCTTTTGCGTATGCTTTTGTTTTACTGATTTATTATGTATCGTTGTGAACAAGTATGAGAACAAAGGGGTTGTGTGATATTGCAGTGTGGATCAGGACGATCGGTGGCGCCGATCAAAGCTGGTTTCGTTGCTCGTGTGGGTCGGAGGAAAACATAATATACTCGGTTGTTGGAGTGTGTCTTCTGAAGAGGAGTTTCCTGTCCTTGCTTTTTGTTGCTGCTTGTCCTGAGTATTTCACAGAGCTTTTTCAGCACATTGCGCAAAAACATTTGTGGTATAAACAAATATATAACCTGGCGCAGTCGAACAATTTCGGTGTGGGGTCTTGTTTGGTATCCAGAAAATTCACGGGTTTAAATTGGATGATAGAGAAAGTTAGGGGTCGATTTGGAAAGTGAAGAGTTTCTAATGCGTCGCCGTTCACCCCCCATCCTCAACAGCTGGCAGTTTGCTTACGTAATAAATTAACTGAGACCTTTATTTTAAGTTTATCCGGACGGTATCTCCCTCCGCAGATATTCGGATCTCCAGTGAATAGGTTTCCGTCATAATAAATCGCGACAACAGATCTCCGCCCTCCATTACTGGATAATCTGTATCCAACGGTTCACAATTCACGCACACCTTTTATTGAAATACAATAATTAGTTTCACCATCCCATCTTGTTCTTCACAAGCCTCTCGAATTTCGGTCGCACCTTCTTCTTCGCTCTGGAAAAAATTTCCGTGGGTTTCTCGTCGTTTCTTCTCCATTTCTCGTGCCGTCAATTGGCTTCGGATAGAGGTTATTGTGTGCGTTTTCGCTTGCAACGCATAGAAATGACGGCGGTGCTCTCGCGCTCGTCTCTGGGTCTTCGTCGTTCCATGGCTCGCGCTGATCTCTTCGACGGTGTACCGAATAAACGATTTCCCAATAGTCCTATACCTCAGACCCCGCGAATATGCAGAAACAGGTTCTGTTGAGAAACTCTTCTCTCCTGAGTCGTCGCCCCTTTCTTTTTCCTTACACCTGAATTTCCAAGATCGAATTTCGTCTGGTGTAGTTTTCTTTAGGTTTGTGTCCTTTTCCGGAGGAGATAGTGTCTGGAATTTCGCGGTTCATCGTTGTAAAGAAATTCAGATTTCGACAGAAGCGTTTCTCGAATGTTCTCGTGGAACTTGAGCTCCTTGGTGGTTTGGTCTCTGATTAGAAATTATAGGTTTTAAGTTGTAGTTCTACCATCTTTTGTGGAGTTACCAGAACTCTGCTTTAACTTTTCGAGTTCTCTGATCCTAATCAGAAAAAAACTAGTAAAATTCGAGTCAGAATTTCCGTAATTCTTGGTGGAATGGCTGAGAGAAGAGAGTTAGGGCATCCAAAAACTGCCTGTAGCTTGAAGGAGCAATTAGCAAGAACCACTCTGCAGACTGTGAGGTCACAAGGGCACACATATGTTGAGCTCCGTGAGGATGGGAAGCGGTTCATATTCTTCTGCACGTTGTGCCTCGCTCCTTGCTACAGCGATGCCGTTCTACTGGGTCACTTGAATGGAAACCTTCATAAGGAGAGATTATCATGTGCTAAGATCACGCTTCTTGGACCAAATCCGTGGCCTTTTAATGATGGTGTCCTTTTCTTTGACAATACAATTAGGAACGAGAAAAATCAGTCGGTCTCTGACTGCGAGCAAAAGTCGGGCTTGTTGGAGCAATGCAGCGAGAATGACAAGTTTGCTATTGTCAAGTATGAAGAGAATGTGAGAACTGGTTCAGATGGGAAAGATCTACAAGTTGTGATGGAGTCTAATAAAGAATCTATTGATGGTGCTGATTGTCTGGTAATTTCTGGCCTGCTGATCAAGGAGAGAACCGTTGATCTGGAAGCAAGGTTCATAGGTGTTGGGCAGCTAGCTGCTAGGCTGTCTGAGAAAGAAGGAAGCCCTACTCAGATCGTCAAAATATGGTGTGAGTGGTTAGGGGA